GGAGGTCCACCCGATGAGATCACTGACGAGCACCTGGCAGCCACCCTGAAGACATCAGCATGATGCAGCAATTTCCATAGACTGGCATAGGAAGAAATTCCTATAAGAACTGGACTAAAAAACTATGGAATCAGAGTCCAAGGTTCTGCTGCCAGCCTACCAGGAGCTTCAGATACGCATCTGATCAGGACTTTGCTCCCCACTACCATCACTTGTGTACAGAATACCTGGCCAGTATCCTGTCACAAGCAACTTCCAGGCTGGTAACTATAACAAATACACAGAACCTGAATGAATGGATGAATGAATGTTTATATGTATAAGGGTTAAGTAGTTAAACAACGTTGTTTGCTTCTATCTTTTCTTTATTTTTTTATTATTATCTTTACAATAAATGTGGATTTTTGCCTTATCCCCCTCATAAGATCCTGCTTGCTTTTATTTGGTATTACAAGAGGGGGAAATGAAAGAGGTCTATAAAATCAAGACTGGTGTGGAGAAAGTTAATAAAGAACTTATTTACTTGTTCCCATGACACAAGAGCTAGAGGTCATCAAATGAAATGAATAGGTAGCAGGTTTAAAACGAACAAAGTATTTCTTTCCTTAATGCACCGTCAGCTTGTGGAACTACTAGCCAGAGGATGTTGTGAAGACTAGGACTTTAACAGAGTTCAAAATTGAGGTAGATAAGTTCATAAAGGAAAAGTCCATTAATGGCTATTAGCCAGGATGGGTAGGAATGGTGGCTCTAGCCTCTGTTTGTCAGAAGCTGGGAATGGGTGACAGGGGGTGGTTCACTTCATGATTACCTGTTCTGTTCATTCCCTGTGGAGCACCTGGGATTGGCCCCTGTCAAAAGACAGGATACTGGGCTAGATGGACATTTGAGTTGACCCAGTATAGTAATTATTATGGTCTTATATTAACTTTGAGGATTTGGATCTGGGGAGGAGGGGACAAAGATTTATCTCTTCATGTATACTTGCACCATGCTTAGTACAGCAGGGTCCTGATCTCAGTTGCAGCCTGAAATGAGGGCAATGTTCAAAGACTGGATATTCCCCTAGGGTAGAATGAAGAGCAAACAGGTCATAAGTTCACCTCCAGTCTGGCACCAGCTTGTCAGTGTGAACTGACACTTGGTCAAGCAGATCCGGCTTGAGCCATTCCTGTGCCCCGGGCAGCAGGCGCGTGACACATGCATGGCTCTGCCCCAGGTGCATGGCGCATGCGCGGCCCTGCCCCCTGGCGCGCTGCACACCTTACAGCTGCAATCGGGCGCATGGCCCGGCTAGCCCCCACCTTAATCCGGCCCTGACAGGCACCTCCAGATGCAGTACCAGCACCTCCAGTCAGAACTCAACAACTTTTCCCCTGGAGTACCGGCAACTTTTTTTTTTTTTTAGAAAAAAAGCATTGCGTGAGAAAGGTTTCAGGAGTTTGCCACCTCCTCCTCTGTGGTGGGGAGTAGGGGAGTGTCTTCCTTCCTGGTAAAACTTAAAATAACAACAAATAGTCTGGTAGCATTTTAAAGACTAACAAAACATGTAGATGGTATCATGAGCTTTCATGGGCACAGCCCGCTTCTTCAGATGACCAGCTTCCTGGTGTGAACCATAAAGCCTTAAAGAAGGTAAATTAAAAAAATCCAACTCTGCAGTATTGCTTTTTAACAGAGTCTTGGTCAACTTAATGTTAATTTGAATGTTTGTACAATTAACTGCTGTTAAGCTTGCTAGAATAAGTAATTTTTCCAGGTGTCCTGGATTCAGTACAGGGAAATCTGGACAACCTAGTAAGGGGCCACCAGTCCCTTTACATACAGACAATTACTGCAGAGTATAAAGCCTTTGGGAGCCAGGCCACTGAGATGAATGAGGTGAATGAGGGAAGACTGAAAGAACTGGGCTTTTTTAGTTTAGAAAAGAGAAGACTGAGGCTACATCTAGACTACACAGTTTTTCTGTATCCTGGAAAAACTGTTCCGCATCCAGGGAACGTGTTTGATCTTCCGCTTTTTCTGCAGAAGAGCAAATGCACTCTTTCAGAAGCCCCGGTATTGCTCGTTCCACAAGGAATAAGGGGGCTTCCGAAAGAGGGTTTTTCCCCCAACATTTGGCCCAGTCTAGACGTGCCAAATGTCAGAAAAGCCTCTTCCAACAAAAGAATCAGAAAAAAGCTACACAAAATGCAGAGCTCATTTTGCGTAGCTTTTTCAAAAAAAATAAAAAAAAAAAAGCGGCAGTGTAGACCTAGAAAAAAAAAAAAACACAACAAATGGTCTGGTAGCACTTTATAGACTAACAAAACATGTCGATGGTATCATGAGCTTTTGTGGGCACAGCCCCCTTCTTCAGATAACCGGAGTTATGAGTGGGCTATGTCCACGAAAGCTCATGATACCATCGACATGTTTTGTTAGTCTATAAAATGCTACCAGACACTGGCGTGCATATGGGGTATGCCGGGTGTGTGCAGGCACACCCTAATGTCTTTAGTTGCCAGGTGTCCGGTTTTCTACCAGACAGTCTGGTTTTTTGGGGCTCTGTCCAGTAAAAAAAATCCAGAAAATACCAGACATGGCTGGTATTTTCTGGTTTTCCGACTGGGCATCCGGAAGCCTGGTGGAGGGAGTGGCTGGGAGGCGGGGCGCGATCGGTGCTGGGAGCCTGGTTGCATGTGAGGAGGAGGGGCAGCCCAGTCTGTGTTCCTGCGCGCAGCAGCCCAGGGACAGTCCAGTATCCTTTTTTGGGGCTTTGTCTGGTAAAAAATCCAGAAAATACCGGACATATGCAATGTCCAATATTTTCTGGTTTTCCGGCTGGACGCCCAGAAGCCTGGCGGGGCACGGGGCTGGGAGGCAGGGCGCGATCGGCGCTGGGAACCCTGGTTGCATGTGAGGAGGAGGGGCAGCCCAGTCTGTGCTCCTGCGCGCTGGTCAAGCGCGTGGTGGAGCCACAGCCGGACTGACTGTGCTTCACCTGGACTGTGCAGGGGGCAGGAGCGCCCTGGGATCTGCACTTCCTGGGTCAGTCCTGCTCCCCACCCGCTGATATGTTCCTCCCCCCGCCCTGCTCCCTCCTGGCTGGCCAATTGGTTCTCCCTCACTTCTCCTCCCAATCTTCCCCTGCCAGCCCCGTTGCACCCGCCGCCAGCCCTGCTTCCAATGGCCAGTTCTCCCCTCCTCTTCTGATCTCTCCGGACTAGCCCCTCTGTACCCAACCCCCGCCCCCAGCTCTACCTCCTGCCAGCTGGTTCCTCCTCCCGATCTTCCCCGGCCAGCCCCGCTGCACCCATTTAAAAAAAATTAAGTTTAGTTTTTTAGTTTCTTTAGTTTGTTTGATGAATAAAAATAATGTCCTTTATGATTGAGTCTTCAATAAATGTTCGCCTTTAAAAAAAACAGAATTCCCTGGGCGCACACCCTAATGCAACGTGCTGCGCACACACGCCTCTGCTACCAGATCATTTCTTGGTTTTTTTTCTGTAACAGACTAACTGGGCTCTCCCCTGCAGCTCCGAGACCTAGACAGTGCTTTGTCCTGCCATGCGGGCGGGGGCTGGACTAGATGGTCTCTAAAGGTCCCTTCCAGTTCCATGGCCCTACGAGACCCTTTGGAAGGTCGCTTGGGCTGGAGGCGGCGCATCAGCCCCGAGAAGAGCCGCGCAGCAGGAGGCGGGGCCACTTGGCGCTCCCTTCAGAGTCTCCAGCGCTCGCGGCGGCAGCCACCCCCGCGCGGCGCGTGACGCCTGGGCTCGCCCCCTGGCGGAGCGCGAGGGAAGCGCCCCTGGCACGCAC